ATGTAAGACTGTGTATACACTGTTACGCAAAAGCCATTATCCAGATGAAGCTGCTATTACAGTTACCGGTTAGATTACAGACGCCCATCCCGTCTCACTTATATCATTATGCGGTCCATTTGTCTGTCTAAATGTCTTAGCTTGATGAAATGTTACCCAATTCGAGATATGACACCCGCTGTTGGTAAATTGAAAATTCTGTATCGATTACATGTTGACAACCCTAACTACTGGGGGAGGGCAGAGGGATTGTTAGTAACGGGGACATTAATCCCTCTTTCTAGCGATATACCCTGTCAGGTCGACATCCACGCGGTTACCCCTGGAAACCAACGTGATTAATTCTAGTCGGATCCGTCACACACTAACTGACCTAGCTCAGCTATCACCACTCACTGGTGCCCCGTCAGTGTATACCGATAGCGCAGACGGAGTTACCATTCCATTATCACTCATTTAAAAAAGAACCCTAACTACTGAGTACCGAGATCGCTGTAATTATTGCTTTTTCTCAAAACACTACAATTATTCACTTAAATGAGATAACAGCTAACTAAAACCAATACATATAGTACATATATCTGTCACGCCTGTCTCCCATTAGGGTAGGCAGAAACAATGGAACGCCAAATGCTTCGATTCAAACAAACCTCTTTCGCTTCTTCCACATTCATCAATCTTTTCATACACGCTTGTCGGTTACGGGTACTTTTAATTTGGCCCTTCTTCAACACGTCGCTTATTTGGTCGACATACGTCCAAGGCGGCCCCTACTGACATCTTCATTCATTCTAGCTTGATAAATCTCTTTCGTAATTCTTCTTTCATCCATCCTCTCCAAATGACCAATAATATAATCAAATTGTAGTCGTGTGGGCTGCATAGAATAGGCCACCCCTTCCTTTCCCATGGATGTCGTAAGAGGCGACTAAGGGAACTCATGGTGGAGGAATGAGCAGCAGCTAAAATATCACCAAAAGCCTAACTGCGATTACGATGTAAAGGTTGCGAGAAATTCGCGCCAAAATATGAGCTATATTGAAAAATTCATGCCTAAGATTATGAATAAGACTGATTCGCAAAATAAAAATCGACTTTAAGTTCATATGGAATAAACAAAGGAATATATCCTATAATTTTTAAAAAAGCATTACTAAAATCAATTCAGAATTAACGATGTTACCGCGTAAAATTGACTAGAATGAATGAATGAATGAATGAATGAATGAACGAATGACGTTTCTATTTTTGTACACAAACAAAATAAATAATAACATAAACAATTACGAATACATAAAAGTACGATAAAGAGGCAAAAAAGGGAGGACTTATTGCTGAAAAGCAATGACCTAAAAGCTAAATAGATAATCTTCTTTTTGAAGTTGCTTGAAAATATATATATCACAAACTAAACTAAATAACATTTAGTTTAACGATACCTCGTAAAGGTTACAAGGGAATGGATAGAGCTTGACGCCTCTGACGTTCTGTTGCTATATATTTTGAATTTTATTATCAGATACTGTTTAGTTGTTTATATTCACACAAATTCACTATTTATATAATTAAACTTTTTGAAAAAATGCAACAGCCGAGTTGATATTCGTTTTTCTTGGCTAAAATTACGTTTCTAATGAAAAAAAAAAGACTATTCAAAAACGCTTAAATCTAAGTAAAATATTTCTATATTTCTATTTTATGGCTATTGTTGATTAAATTAAATGGTTAAAAAGTAAACTGTAATTATTTATAAATCATTAATGCTTTCATTAATTTCATTAATTAAATAATAATAATACAGGTTAAAATCCAAATCATTATTATCCTTTTAAAAAAAATCCTTGTAAAAGTAAATATTTTTTTTCCAACAGAATATTAGTCTAAAGACAATAAAAAAATTAAATGCCCACTATATTGGACAGAGACATCCATATGGAAGAGTCAAAATTCTTGTCGTTTTTTAGGGTTGAGCGCTAAAAAAGTACAAAGGAATCTTTATGGAACGAGTTTATCCGTCCATCTGTCTGTCTGTCAGAGCACTATATCCCAGCAACTACTAAAGCTATCAACTTTTTTAGTTACGTTTCTTTGAATAAAATGTTCAGCTGTAACACTTATAAACTACACTACTAAAGGAATATTAATGATTTTGATGAAAACATCCTGTATAATTATTGTCTAGTATTTATAATGCACTATTGGAAATATTTTGGACGAATTAAAAAAAAAATGATAAAATCGTGTTCCAAAAAAGCCTTCAATTGTGGCGAAACAAAGTTATTTTGATGAGTTATGAGGCGATAAACATAAAAAAATGTATAACTATAACCGAATCGAGAACTTCCATTCTTTTTGAAGTCGATTGAAAAGATTCACAATTTGCTTGGCTACATTTTTTTTCCATCTGTATTACGCGATAATGACGTTTTCAAAATAAATTGACGATTCTTTTGTTACATTTTTTAGAATGGATTATTAGAATTATTATTAATATTAACATTTTTAATATCTTACTACAAGATTAAAATACGAAAAAGAAGATTTAAAACAAAATACTACCTAAAAATCAAGTTAACTAATGAAAAATCATTCCATATACATAGATGAAAAAATTAATGAATTTCACGCAGACAAAGTAGCGGGTCAAAACTTATAATTAATAAGAATTCAAATGTGGGTTATTTGTTAAGATAGGTTATCTAGTCTGCTCTGAACAGCTTCCACGGAGAGCGGTCACGAGCTGATGCAACCTTCTCTCACGTCATTTTGTAATTCATCGCCTCTAGTGGCCCGATAGGTGTTTGTAGGGTGACCTCTATTTAAGGGCCTCTGAATGCAGACATGTCTCTGTTTATTTCAAATTATTTGTAGGGTGACCTCCATTTAAGGGATTTTTATTTTTTTTTCAATGTAATTTGTTTGTACTAATTATTATTATTTATTGAGAATAAGTTACAGTTTTTTTGTTTGGTGAATTCACTTGTACAAATTGCAATCAATTTTTTTTTTTTTTTATCAAAATCTTGAATGAAATTATATTATAGATATTTCTCTTTCTAAAATAAATAAAAATAAAATAAAATAAAAATTATTTATACAAATAAAAAAACAAATTTTTATTTTCGCTTTTTATGTTATTTTTAATTAATTACGTGTGATTTTAAATGCCCTCTTTTTTTAAAAATTGGAATAAACGAAAATGACTATTAGTTAAAATTGAAGAAAAAAATGTCTCCAATTACATTAGTTCTAAAAATTTTAACATTGCTTTAATAAATTGTATAATATAAATAGCTAGGTAATAATTGTAAATAAATTATAATTAATTAACAAGCTAGAAATCGACTTAACCTTAAGTTAATTATTTACACCGGTTATACTTTGTATTAAATTCTAAGTAAGCTAAGCCCAGCTTAGCACTACAAGGGCAACTCTAGACAAAGCGACGATGCAGCGATATGACATAAGACAGTGCTCTGATCTCACGTCCTTTTGTAACACCACATGTGTATGAGGCAAACTAATTAATTGTTGGAGCAACAACACTTTCCGATAGTAATTGCCCCCTTTTCTAAATTAAAAGTTCCCGTAATTATAAATCGGTTAGTCTTGGTCCAATTTTGCCAGTCACAGGATTATTTAGTACTCTAACAACATTAATTTCTAAGTAAAAATAAATTTAAATAGGATAGATATGTATGTTATGATGTTACGATAAATTGAATGTTAAGTTACAAAATTATATATTTTATACAGTTGATAAACGATGATTAATTAAATATACTTTATATATCTTTTTATAAATTATATATCGTTTACGTATTAATTTTTTTAATTAAAAATATTTACTTTAAGAACAAGTTGTTCATATATGCATACTAGTTATAACGTAATGAATCACTCGGTCACTTTTATTTTATTTTATCATACATTTCCAAATTTTACATTAAAAATATTTAATTAATGTTTTATTTAATTACACGCAGCTTTAATTTACTTATACATTTAAAATATGTCCGAATTCGTTGAGCAATCACAGACACTTTTGATAAATGATCACAAGCAATTGATTGTGCGAGGTCAAACCGTGGCTTACTGCCTTACTTAAATTGAACTTTACTATAAAACGCATTACTAACTTTAAACTAATCTAATTGTTGCCTTTTTAAAATCCGGCAAAGTCGGTAAGTATTACCGACTTTGTCTTGTTTTTTGTTGTAAAATTATGAGTTAATTTAGTCGTTAAGTTTTTACTTTATCATTATATTACATTTCTTATATTATTGCAAATGTTTATGAGAGTTAAATCCGGGTTTTTGTGAGCAGTTAAGTATTATTGTAATTGAGCATTTATTGTTAAGTAGTTATATTTAGCGATTATGTCGATTTTCTCAGTACATTATGTTATATGTTGAATAAGTGGACGAATATACCACCATAAACGCAACAGTAGAATGTTTCAGACTACTCAATCACAAATCATAGGCGTGAGCTTATTTATTTAAATTGTATATTTTACTTATTTTGTTTATTTATTTAAAATTTTTATATTGTATACTTTATATTATACTGTTATGACAATAAAGTATATTTCTTTTGCTTTTTATTATTTCATTGTGACTAGTCGTAATTATTCTGTTATTAAAAAATAACGCAACTAACCGACAAAAAATAAAACAAATTTAGAATAAATGTGAACTCGTTTACATAAAATAATTAATTGAAGTTAAGTCCCTATATAAAATTATACCAGATATATTTCCCATAGTCATAGTAATGGTGTTTCAGTATATTTCTAAAACTCATATTAACGTAATGACGTAATTAGGCTTTTTATTTTAATTAGCGACACAATATGTATCGGTTATTAGAATATTTATGCTTTAATTCTTTTTATAATTAAACAGTTAAATAGATGGCACTTAGAATTTAATGTTTAAGGAAAACCTTTTATTATAAATTTAGTAAATATCGTGAAATTAGAAAATAAAGTCACTCACCATCGTCAGAGATGCCAGCAGCCTCATCACGAGCATTCTGTTCCAAAGACTTCAAGATGGCTTCTGGGATCGGAGGGGGGGTTGGGAGGTGAGCACCCTGGGGTTGGTAACCGTTCTCGTCAGCAGTGTACGAGATGCTGTAGTCCTGGCCATCATCACCCTTGTATGCGAAGCTGCCTTGAGATTGGACTCCATTGGTGGCAACACCAGAAGCATCAGCTCGGATTCCGTTGGAGGTCTCAAAGTCGTAAGAGAATCCTTCAGCGGTTACTTCGCTGTTCGATCTCAGGATTTGAGCACCAGCGTCTTGAGGGCGGCTGCTGCTGTATTGTTGAGCTGGGGCGTTGTAGGCATTGCCTGAGTATTGGGTTCCGTAGCCTTGACCAGCGCCTCCACCGATACCGGCGCCTTGTCCGAAGCCTCCTGTTCTACCGCCAAATCCTGAGCTCTGTCCAAATCCAGAGCCACCGGCTCCTCCAAAGCCACCAGAGCCGAAACCGCCGCCGGACTTGAAACCGCCAGCGCCAGGGGCGGCCCCGAAACCAGCTCCATTGTAGCCAGCACCATCATTTCCTCTCGGTGGCAGATACTTATTATCGAGTCGGTCTGCCAAGCAGGCACCGAGGATAGCAGCTACCACAAACTGAAAACAAACAATGTTTATTACTTAGCTTGTATAATACTCTTAATATATATTTTTTTATTGTCAAACCTGTGTAAACATGATTTTAAGAAAAGTACGTAAGGTTCTGTTTTGTTTGCGATTATTATACTTTTGCTTATAAAAAAAAGTGTACAATTTAATGTAATACTTCTACAACATAATAAGTAAACTAACATCATTAATCATAACATTAATTCAATAAAATATAAAATGAAGTCTCATTTAAAATTGATTTTAAAGACTTTATATGTATTCCAAACACTAGTAATAAATATAAATAAATTGATATAAATAAGTTAATTTAAAATATTTTGTATTAAAAATTAATTTAAATAAAAAAATAGTTTAAAATAATTATCAGAACTTAAGAGAAAATAATAAAGTTATTTTTTAATGTGTCCCGTAAAAGTCCAACCAAATCGTTGTCATATCCCGCATAACCCTACAAAGGGCCGCGGCAATTCCAACACCTTCCAATCTAGGACGCAGGATCCCTTTCTCTTTGGAACGAAACTTTCTTATACGATATTAATATACCTACTCACCAATTTCATTTTTATATTTATATATTCTATTATTATACTAGGAGTGTGCTGCTCGGATCTGAGCCGGTGGATGACTGTGATGAGTCTGAGATGCATCTCAGTTATATACTTACCTCCCGTCTTTCTTAGAATGGGTTTTGCCTACTGAAAAATTGTACCACGGTCGACAAACCGTATCACTGCATACTTTATTGATTGTAAGGTAAGGTCTTCCTACATTTAATGTGTAGCGATGAGAGGTCGCTTTGTTTCGTCATATCAATCGTTTGATATGATTCTGGCGAGTTTCAATCACGATTCTGATATGTTTGCATTTACTTATGTCTACGAGTAATTTTTATATATATAAAATTATATAGAGTGAAATCTTAACAAATGTAAAACATTTTCATCAAAGAAATATGGGTTGATAAAAATGGAATTCTTTAAGTCTCCCATTTTAGATTCCATACATACCATACATACACGGTATATCCAGATGTCAGTATGGAAGACTAAATTTTTTTTGTCTATATTCAATATTTGATTTAAATTATTTTGTACAGTACAGATAAATTCTTAGTATTATGTACAATTAATGACTTCAAATTTAGAGTACCTATGTGTTTGATTAACTACGAATGAGTGTCTTGACATAATAACATATAGTTTTATCATTCTTCTAACTTTTTTGGATTTTCATACTAAAATCTGATATGACTTTGTTCATTCGGCACAGAACTATATTTTAGCAATTATTAATGTGTTAATTTTTATTTTTAATTAACATTACAGATTGGTTATTGACAATATACAAGTAAATGTAAAAGTATATAAAAATTGTAGTATAGATGTTTTTATTCATTTACGTTTAAATAGCTGGATGAATTCTAGTGAAATTCGATACAAAAAGTGACTATACTTACGTTAAATCGAGGATACAAGCGATGTAATTACATATAATATTAAGTACAAAAAAAAAATAACTATATAATATAATTTGTAAAATCAATTACCAAGCTATAATTGCCACCTTTTAAAATTAATTTATTGTATAAAATACCAGTCCAGTTAATTTATTTATATATTAGTAAATAAATTTTTGACATGTTTTTTTAAATACTTGTTAGTATTTATTTATTTATTTACCCGTAGCTTACTCGTCTGAATTCGTGAAAAACAGTATCATAGGAATCGAGGAAATAGGATAAATACGATTCCCGTATATAAATTTATGTATTTAACAATGTTTTTTTAAATAATCATATAATTAAAACTCATTAAATTTATTCAGTGGACTTAATGCAAATTATATATGTATATACAATATGAAATAATGTATTTTTTTGCTTAAAAGTATGTATACATTGCTATTTTAGTAGTCGTAATTAAGAATCTAACTTCAATAATCAAGCTTATAAAAACATGTTTAATTATATAATTTTATGATTTATACATATAAAAAATTATATAAGTCATCTACAGTTTATTGCTATAAAATTATATTTGTGTACCTATATAATGTACAACGAAATAAAGTTGAGAGACATTTTTGTTGTTATTAGGATCTGTCAATCATGGAGTGGATTAATTAAAAATTAAACAAACAGGATCTACTGAACTTGGTAAAAAATGTTTACTATAAATAATCATCGTTATATACCAAATAACGAACATATGTATATATCTATTCGTTCAAAAATGTGTCACAAAAAATCTAAAATTAATTAATAAAATTATAGGAAATCCGTTCGATTAATAAGTAATTAATTAATTTAATAGTGGCTGTTGGCACTCGGTGGAACTTTATACATCTATTTATTTATTTATTTTTTCAATAATTTAATAATTAATGAAATATATTTATTATATTTTAATAATTATTAATAAGAAGTATTATTAATTAGCAAGATATATTTTTTTAAATAATTAAAATAACATTCCATATAGCATTTACGTCCCACTACTGGGCATATATTTCTTCCAGAATACCTATTGTTGCTACACTTGTCCAATGGACAAATCTCTTTTTTAAATTGGTTAAAAAAAATAATAGCATTGTGTTTGTTTTTTTTTTTAATGTATATCAATGGTACAGCAACCCCGTCTGCGCTGACGGTATACGCTGGCGGGACACCAGTGAATTATAATAGATAAAAAGGCAGGTCGGTTAGCTCATCTTGATGAATTCACTTAAAATTGAACATCATGGTTTCTAGGAGGAACCGCGAGGAAGTCGACGTAACTGGGCGTACTCGTATTGATAGCAATGGGGCTACTAGTCCCCATTACTATTGTAATAATCGTAATGAGGACTAGTAGCACCATTACCATTGTAATAATTCGGTGATGTTTTAAAAGGGACACTAATGCCCATCCCTCCACCATAAGCTCCCTTACTTGCCAATTACGACAATCACGGGAAAAGGAAGGGTTTTTTTTTGGTGGGTGAAAATGGTATGATAACCCCGACCGCGCAAATGGGATACGCTGGCGGAGCACCAGTGAAGGGTGATAAATGAGAATGAAAACAGGCCAGTTAGCCCATCATGATGAATTCATCAGGAATTAACCATGATAGTTTCCAGGGAGAACCGCGAGGAGGTCTACCTGGTTGGGTATATTGCTAGCAATGGGATTCTCAGTCTCCATTACTAACAATCCCTTTCCCCCCGGAAACGAAGGGTTGGTCTATTCTATGCCGGGACCTACACAGCTAAGTAGTGGCGTGTACTATATTAATTCAATCATTAAATTTGATTCACGTTTTAATTACACATTAATCCTACATTAATTAATGAGACAAAAAAAACCAACAAGTCAGTATAGTGCTTTAATTATACCTATATTTTTTATTTGATTCTTATTGATGAGAGTTAATTGCGATTAGAAATTTATCATACATATTATAGTTACTTATTTAATACTATAATTGCTTACTTTATACTCTTATCCCGGTTTAATAATAAAAATAACAATAATTTTTATTTCAGACTTTTTTGGTCCATTAAATATTTATTAGTAACAATATTCTTAAAACTAATGTTAGTAAATTTACATACACAATACACACACACACACACACACACATAATATATTAAATAATATACAGTTAATCACCGCTGTACAATTCCATTGGAAATTGCGCTGCAGTGATTAACGTACACACAGTCCAGCCTGCTTGCTATTATACTCAGGATACTGTTGGCGCTGGCACGTACTCTGCACACCAGGGATGCACACCTTTTTCGCATCGTGGCATAAAAACAATCTACACGATGCTCGGCGAACATCCCTGACGCGCTACAGAATCGTGGCAGCCCCATCAACACCCTGAACGCGTTATTTATTATATTGGATACGGAGGTCGCTGTAGGATTTTTGAGTATATACAGCCCATAGGTTGCATGCATGTTGCATTAATGAAATTCAAATATCGAAGTTAAAAATCTTTTTAAATAGGACAAAATTTTCAAATAAATATAACTTTCGAAAGGGAGACTTTGCACAAAAGATGTTTACTTGGGAACTTCTGTCCTATTCGTGTTTTTGTCGTAAAGTGATTATGTTTGCCTGGCTGTGTTTTCATTTGAGAGGTTAGTATGTAGCAATGAAATTACAGGATACAGAGGTATAACGCCTTAGTTGTTAGGAATAGTTAGGCATAAAATGTATCATGGACGACATGGAGTATACTATGTTATGTTCACGGTACTGTTCATGTCTATAGGCGATAGTTACTACTTTCAATGAGGTGGGACGTAAGCTTGTTTGCCATTCTAAGTTTCTTAAAAAAAATTGACAATTCGTGACTTTTGTGTTTAAATAAATAAAAATCACACGTTGTCTAAACTCAAAATACCCCTGGGGGGAAGGGGCTTGTTAGTAAAGGCGACTAACTAAGAATCCCATTGCTAGCAATATACTCAACCAGGTCGACCTCCACGCGGTTCCCCCTGGAAACTATCATGGTTCATTCCCGATGAATTCAACATGATGGGCTAACTGGCCTGTTATCATTCTCATCGATCACCCTTCACTGGTACTCCGTCAGCGTATCCCGTTAGCGCAGGCGGGGTTACCATACCATTTTTACCCATCAAAAAAAAAACCCAGAATACCCAGGCTTAAGGTAATATAGAAATGTTAGTTTCTCAAATCGGCCTGAACTGAAATCAAACTCGAAGCTTTACGCAAAGCAACGAAAAAACTAAGACACTACAGAGGTCATCAAAATGAAAGGTAATAAAAAAGTAATCGATTTATTGTAATCATATTAGAAATACTTAAATAAAAAATAAACCTAAACTTGAATAAATAAAAACCTGATTTCTATAATTTTTTTATGGCATAGTGAGCAAACGAACATTTGACTCGCGAGCAATCGTGACCCGGATAAAAAGTAGCCTATGTCCTTCTCCATCCTATACAGTGGGATACATCCTAAGAGAGGGAGACTTTGTACAAAAGTCGATTGCTTGGGTACCTCTGTCCCATTCATATTTCTACCGAGAAGCAGTTGTGTTTGCATGGCTGTGTTTCGGTTTGAAGTATGGGATATGGCGTGAACTTACAGGATACAGAGGAATAACACCTAAGTCCTCAGGAATGGCAACGCATGGGGGGTATCATGGGCGAAACAGTATACACTGTTATGTCCATGGTACTGCTCATATCTATAGGCGACGGTTACCACTTTCCATCAGGTGGGACATTAGCTTGTTTGCCATTCTAAGTTATATAAAAAAAAAATACAGTACTTGTATACCAAATTTCTCAACGATTAGTTAAGCCATTAAGGCGTTATAAGTTAACAAACAAACAAACTCACATTCATATTTATGATATTAGTAAGGATTATTCCAATTAACCTTATCATGCCATCAATCACATGAATCTATTGCCTAGGGTGGATCCAGTACTGCAAGACCTTGAATAAATGCCTGAAGCGAACATCTAGATTATTAACTGTGTTCGATATATCAATATCTGAGTTTTTATTAATGTTCTCACTAGCTTTTACCCTTGACTCCGTCCGTATGATCGAGATATATTCACTGACCGTGAGAAAAAGTAACCTATATCCTTCTTCATCCTATATAGTG